GAAGTTACTTGGCACGAATGAATGTTTGATTCCCCCTCTTATCAAAATTTGGTGGTAGTTCCGCTTCCCAGTAATAATTTGACCTCTCATTACCCATAGCTACAAATATAGTAAGCAATATGTTAAGTGATCTGTAAGTGACCATCAACCTCAAGTAGTTGATAAAAATGAAAAATTAATTTGCTGGCTGTAAGATCTCTCAACATAAGATTTTTCTTCGGGGATCAAGTATCCACCAATTGGGCAGAAATTTAAATTGAGAGCAGTCTATTGATGTTCCTAACTTAACTTTTCTTCTGAAAAGACAAGTTCAACAAATGTTAAATATTCTTACACTGCATAAAAGCAACCTGTTCCGGTAGCCATGTATCAAGAGTAGTAGACCGTACCTACCACAAAAATGAAAATTTCAAAAGGTCAGCAATCAAAGATCCAACATAACAAGGATTTAGAAAATATCGAAGTTATAACACCAATTAAATCAAAATTCAATTAAACTACATGTAACAACAAATGCAAGCACATATGCATATAGCAATTCAAGCAGTTCACTGTGTTCATAATTTCAGTGAGTCCATAAGTTAGTTGTGCATTCAATGTATTTGAGCAGTACCGCAATTTCAACCCAAGGATTACAGGACAAGCTTAACTAATACTTGACAGATCTATTGGGTTTGTCGGCAGATGACTTGGACATAGTTTGCGGGCAATAACACTGATTATCTTGGATAATTTGAACTAGATAACAAATTTACTTTGAAGCCTAGCAGATCAGTAACATGTATATACGACAAGTTTCTTGAAGCTTCAATTGCAAAGAGGAAATGCTTAATCCTTAAAGCATCTTGGGAAAAGAATCCTAATTAATATTTTCATTCTTTATTAATATTGAAAAGTATTAAGTGCTAGCAAAAGCACAAATAGTGTGGGACTTGTGCTAATTTGTCCTCAGTTCCATTAAGTCTTTCACCGTATTTGTGATCTTCAATGAAAATAATATGCAAGGAGATTTCCTCTAAATAACCACCAAAAAATCTTAAACAGAGTGACTAGAAGTCTTGCCTCCAAAAATATTGGGATACTCCAACGGCAGTAATAAACACATACAAGCTGGCAAGTTTCTGGCTCTATACATTCCTTTTTTTGTTGTTTAAATCTAAGATCATTTTGAAGTTCATGTTTGTTTTGAAGAATCTCTTCCAACTACAAGATACGGTTCAAGCAAAACCAAAAAGTTCAACGATCTACTAGTAGTCACATAAAACTACATAAAAGGAACTTCAATAGCTAACAAAAATCCTCTTCTACTTGTGGTAGGAAAGAGTTAGGGAAACCTTTGAAATATGTACTCCAAGACTCCTATGAATACCCGAGCATTGCAGGCATATAAAAACTCCAAGGTTTACACTTGCCCATCGGGGAGCCCTGTGCATCATATAGCAAAAAATTACATTAAAGTACACAATATTGTAGTGCATGTTGAACTCGGATCAAGAAAGCTTGTATCAAAGCACATTTTCTTAGAAAACCATTTCCAAAACCTGGTTTTCACAGTAATTATTGGTCAACAGTGAGCATGGTTAAACTACAACAATTTAAAATGCTTGCTTTGATATCATGCTAAACCTAAAACAATATCTAATAGTTGGCCACCACATGAATCTTTATATGATGGAAAATATTTATTTTAAAATGCCTTGAACATATTGTATCTTATTCATCAGAAAGTTATGTAGATGCATATTCTTCTCCTGCTCGATATTATTACCATGTCCAGGCTTTTTAGCTAGTTGTTAGGGCCATTATTGTGCACTGCCCAAGTCCTCTAATGCTTGTCATAAAATTGCAGCACTCAAACCAAGTCCTAACCATCTCAATAATTTAGTAGCCTTGTTTCAGAGATGCCTAGGGATGAGAAACATACACAAAATAGTAACAACTAATCTACCGAAACTTTATGGAGCATCATATTCAGAAATTAGTTTGCCGCATTAAATTTCAATTGAATATCAAATAATGAAATATTTAATAGTTCTGAATGTCATCAAACTAACAGCCAAAAAAAAAAAGTCGAAGTGCATTGAACATTCAAAGGGATGCAGTTTGACAAAGGTACTGCCAAAAAAGCTGATGTCCACATTCGTTGGTTAAATAGATACTAACATGATATGAAACTAGAGCGCTCATAATACATAAAACTAGATGATAACCAATTCGTTTTATGTAATCAAAGAAGCTTAACAAAAAAAAAAACTCTGAAGAGACGCAGAAACAGAGAAGATATTCAGGAGGAATGAGAATAAACATTTTGAACATAAATATTGTAGTGCGAAAATTATGCATGCTCCAAGCAAAAATTGGCTGATCAGGAGCTTACGAACAGGAAGTACATTCGTAACTAATTAGAATTACAGAATGAACGCTTCATATTTAAAAATTAATAATAATGATCTTTTAAATGCGTACTTGCTCCGGCAGTCAGCACATTCCCTGTTCTCTGGAAGCTTGAGAAGACCTTCCAAAATCTGCATAAACAAATATGTAACACGCACAAAAAAGATCTGAAGTTAAACAGAGTATTAAAATAAACGTTCACACTGCTAAAACCAAGTATTCGAGATGAAAACAAAATTCACATGAAATTAATAGATTAGCGACTGCAATTCATATCCCTGCCGTGTAAACGAAGACTTCAAATAGCTTGAAAAAGTGAGAAGAAGAGCTTCGTTGATACTGCGCAATTCGATCATAGTTTTTGGCTGGTTTGATTGCGCTACCAGTTGATCATAGCATTTCCAAACACTAACATTATGTTGCTATAAGCCTATAATGCGCACAACAGCTTAAATCTCTCTTTCTCGCATAACTAACTAGCGAAGAAACGACGATTTTCCTCAAAACCTTCGATCAATTTCAAACAAAACGCAACAGAGATAGACATAAATAGTTTTAGAAACCTTAGCGTGTTTGGCTTCGAGCTCCTTAGAGACGGAGGCCTTCTCATTCATGTTTGGACTCGGATTCGACGAACCGCTACGACGATCAAATCGCTGCGGTTTGTTAAGAAGTCGCCTTCGCCTCTGGTAACTCCGAACAGAGAATTCACGAGAACGATGATGAAGAGGAAAGAAAAAGAGCTCGGTAATGATTGGCTCCACAAATTCTGAGGGAAACGGATGGAAATCCACAAATAATGCGAAAGGGAAATGGCAGCGTTCATATTTGACGCTTCGCCACCTGTTCTTAATCTTAACCTTCCTATTAATGTCGCTGGCGGGAAACAAAATTATATTTATACGAAACTGCCGGGTGAGGTCAGGCCTCATGCTTGAAGCGCAAGGCGGCCACTCATCCATTATGCCCGCGTGTTGTCCAACTCCATTACGCTCTTTAGGCGGGCCATATTCAGTTCAGCCCAATCCCTCTCTTTTGTTGCAACCCTTTATAAATTTTATAAATTTTATACTCTTTCACGATACGATTTGTTTGGTTGGAGTATCAATCTCGTTAACTTAGTCTAAGGTATTTAAGTATGGTATGCCAAAGTGCTCGAGTGATGCCAATGGTTAAACAAATCGAGCACCGTTGTGGTGCTTTGTCTAATACCCTCTGAGTCAGCTTGAAAGTAGTATAGAGCTCGAGTTTGGAGGTATTTTATATCTATAGAAGAAATATGATTCCAATATTTATAGTGCTTTGTTGCTCGCAGCATCAGTGTTCGGGATGCATATAGGGTCTTTCTCCTTTGGTAGTGGACATGCTCCCTAACTCAGCTTCCTAGCTTCACAGAGCATGTCTTGGATCTTTTGGTAATTTAGGTCGATTGCTTTGGAGGTAAGGCTTTGTAGGTAGTGACAAAATCGATTGACAAATCGTTTTATTTATTTATTTTGACTTAATTATAAAAATATATAAGTTGTCATATTACTTGTTACTTTCCATAAAATTTTTACAACTATTGCAGGTAACGCTCCTTGTTGAATGATAATAGACGCGTTTGAATTGTTTGACGTTCATTTTTGAGGACTAGCACACTTCCCATTATTCATCGAAGGTAATTGTCCAAGAAGAAAATAGTTTGAAGATGAAGAGTTGTGTAGTTTGAAAGATGTCACAACCGACAAAAATAATTGTACAAAATTTGTGAGGTGTCAAACCAAATTGTACGTGTATAATGTCAAAACTTATGAGTTAGTTGTTTCCATCATCGAGTCGTTCTCATCAAGTCAAGCAAGTCCTATAATAGATATTTCGATATAAAGCATTTCTACAATTTCTTTATATTTTTTTATTTCACATTAAGACCGAATTTATTTTCCTATATCTTATTTATTCTAATTTTCATTTATTTGTTCTTGAATGTTTGAACGTCTTATTTAAAGGTATGCAATTTCAGGCATTTTGACAAACTTTTGGCACATAAACGTAGAAGCTTGTGTTTCTCAAACTCACCCCGATATTGGTTCTTTTTCAAATCAATTTAATTCTAGAGTGGGTCGTCGTGGAATCTCAAAGTGACTACTATAAATTCCAATTTAGATCTATTACATTTGTCTGGTGGAGATCATATTCATGCTGGGACCGTAGTAGGTAAACTTGACGGGAAAAGAGACATCACTTTAGGCTTTGTTGATTTACTACGTGATGATTTTGTTGAAAAAGACCGAAGTCACGGTATTCATTTCACTCAAGATTGTGTCTCTTTACCAAGTGTTCTGCTAGTGACTTCCAGTGGTATTCACGTTTGGCATGTGCATACTCTAACCGAGATTTTTGGAGATGATTCTGTACTACAATTCGATGGAGAAACTTTGGAGCACCCTTGGAGTAATGCACCAAGTGCCGTAGCTAACCGAGTAGCTCTAAAAACATGTGTACAAGCTCGAAAGTTATTCATCTTATAACTAAGCGAACGGTTGAAATCAATTCCAAAACTTAGTCTTAGCGATTAAAATAAAATATCTCCTACAACAATTCGATTAAAATATCTACTCTTGAAGTATAAGCTTCAAATCCACTATCTCATACATACTTGTTAAACAAATAATAATAATTTGTTCACATGAGCATCTCAGGATCTAATTATTATCATTATATCAAATACTAAATCTAATTAATTACTCTGCAGACATTCATATAAATATTGATATAAAATATAGACCAGTACCGACTCTTTTCTGTAACTTACTTATTCCAGGGATTGGTAAATTGGTGGATAGTCTCAAAGGGTGTTGATGAAATAATACCTGCAACTGACTCACATGGTGAAAGTATTCCAACTCTTTGCATATGTGATCAACTTCATATCCTAACAATTTTAAGAAGACAAGGTTGAAAGATAACCGAAATCGAAACAGATCCGCTTGTGCCAATTTGGCCTCCCTGCAAGAAGAGAAGAAAATATATGGTTTGAGACATAAGCTCTTGAGCAAATGAACGTTTCGGCCGATATTGATAGAAATGAGAATTCATCGATAGAGATAAAAGAAAATACAAGGATATATAAAATGCAACCGTCTAAGTCCACTGTTAACAGATATTGTCCTCTTTGGACTTTTTTTTTTGGGTTTCCCACAAGGCTTTTAAAATGCATAGGTAAGGGAGAGGTTTTCACACCCTCGTAAAGAATACTTCGTTCCTCTCTACCACTGATGTGGGAGGGCACAATGATCTACCTCCCATTAGTATACACCGTGCCTGTAATCAAGGTGTAATCAAGGTGTTTCAGTCATAATGCATGAAAGTATTCTACTCTATGAGTGCTAACCATGGAATTTGGCTCTTTAGAGATTACCATGCACATCGGACTACCATGCACATTAAAATGTGACTGTAACCACCCAAGCCCACCACTAATAAATATTGTCCACTTTGACTAGTTACGTATCACCGTCAGCCTCACAATTTTAAAACGCGTTTGTTAGGGAGAGGTTTCCACAACCTTATAAGGGATGCTTCATTATCTTCTCCAACCAATGTGGAATCTCAACCAATGTGGGATCTCAACAGGGACCCTCACGAGAAACTTTCTTTTCGATCCTTAGTAGATGTTATTGCAACATTCGTGAGGAGTCACAATAGACGTTTGTTTCAATGACATAGAATATGAAAAATCAGATTGGTTGAACATTATGGATCTCGATTGAGTTTGAGTAAGAAGGAGGTTAAGACTAGTCCTATCTTGGAATAATGACTCTATCTAGGAGTAGAGTGCAGTAATAAATAATCAGTCGCCTTGAATTTGCATTACTACCAACAAATGACAGATATGCTTATTACCCTTTGAACAAAGAACCTTGTTATAATGAAATTTTTTAATGCATAAACACTAAGTTTAAAGTAGGGTGTAAGAAACGGGGACAAAATCGATAATCAAACCCTCTTTATACTGTTGTGGATTAGAAATTGTTATAGTGGTTATCAGAGTTAGAAACCGGGCAAGTGTGCCAAGTGAGGACGTTGTGGATTGTGAAATCCCACATTGGTTGGAGAGGGAAACGAAACACTCCTTACAATGGTGTGGAAACTTCTCCCTAGTAGACGCGGTTAAAACCGTGAGGCTGACAACGATACGTAATGAACCAAAACAAACAATATTTGCTAGTGATAAGCGATTACAACAAAATAGGGTAATGGTAGGGAGTTAAGACCTAATGTAGTTAAACGACCAACATTTGAGCTAACATGAATGAAGCTCAACGGCTAAAGTATTCATTCCTTTCCTAGAAGTCAAAAGGTTCAAATTCCCATCCATCCTCCATTTGGTGGACTCAAAATGATGGAAAACAATAAGAACATAATTTGCTTTTGCATTTGTAGGGACTGAAATGGAAGGAGTTCGAGGTAGCAGCTATTGAATTAAAAGACATTCATGTTTCTCCATTCTTCTACACCAGAATGTCTAGTGAATTGTGATAAACAGCAGAAGATTGTTCCATGGCATTTAAGAGCTTTCAACTGTGGGATGCATCGACTAATTTAGGGAATGATCATGGATTTATAATCAAGGAATACTATCTCTATTGGTATGAGACCGGTTGGGAAGTCCAAAGCAACTATGAGAGCTTATGCTCAAAGTGGACAATATCATACCATTGTGGATATCCGTGATTCCTACATCAACCCTCAAATTCTAAAAGTAAACCAGCTCAAACAAAATTTATTAGCCATTTAAATCCCCGAGCACCTTTCACTTCCATTTCTTATCAAGAAATCATCATATAAGAGCCAGCACAAATACCAAAATCCTTAAAATTTGAAGTAAGAGTTCGTTTGAAAACTCACACTGTAAGACGAATCTGAACATCATTTTGCTCCAGTTTCTTGGGGAGTCTTTGCCACGATTGAAATTGCATGCAATCCAGACTGAAGCTCATCAGCCAACGCATCATACACCATTCTATGGCGCTTCACAAGGCTCTGCCCTTCGAAATTTGGTGACACAATCTTTACATTGAAATGAGTCTCCCCATCGCTTCCCTTAACTCCCGCATGCCCAGCGTGCTGGTGCGAAACGTCCTCGATTTCCAAAACACTCGCTGATAATGCTGATTGCAACTTCGTCTTCATCCTGTTCGCCCTTGAGAGCACCACGTTTGCCCCTCGTGAAGCCATAGTGTTCGATTAAATGTCTGCAATATTTGCATCCATGAGTGGACAGAGGTTCAGAGAAACGAAAAAATCGATAGTAAAACTGCGGAATCTATAATATCATTTTCTCAGTTTTGACTCGAATAGCAGAAGATTATCATCCACGAACGAGCAAAGATTGGATGAGATACCGCCAAATTTTTGTGAAAAAAGGATTTGCAGGTTTATAATTGATAGAAATTTTGAAAATCGTTCATAAACGCAAAGTACTGACCGTGGTGACTCGATGCCTGCTGGATGCTCGGAGACCCTCGACTTTGGCAGCGCGACTTCAGTTTAACGGAGTTCCGTACGCGACTTTTGTGCTTTTCCTCTGAGTTCGAGATTCACGACGAATAATTTTTTTTTCTGCTAAATTAATTAAAAAAAAATATATATATATTCTATTTTATCTAAAAAAAATATATTTTTGAATTTTTTAAAATTTAAAAATACGTTTAAAACTTAAATTATCCACAATTAATACTTTATTTCAATAATTTTTTACTTTAAAAAAGGTTAAAAAAATGAGTTGCATTTCAAAAATGTTTTTTGAGCGTTATGAAATTAAAAAAAAAAAAAAAAAAAAACATGATGAAATCATTATTACCATGTTCAAAAATTTAGAAGTTTTTTATTTTATTTTATTTTTTAATTTAAAAATAATTTATGAGAAGCAAATAAATAGAATAACTTTGGTTAATTATTTATTTATTGAGGTTAAGGGTGCTTATGGCCTAAATCCATATCCTCGAAAGAAAAGAATTTCCTCCCTCAGTCTTTTGAGATTAAGCTAAGACGGGTTATCGACTATAAAAAAGATCTAGACCTACGAGCCGAGGTTGAGAAAAGCCCCTTTGGCCTAGATCTACCGTCTCGAAAAAAGAGAATCTCCGATTAAGCTAAGATAAATTATCGACTATAAAAAATATTTAAACTGGCTGAGAATGTTATCTTAAAATTTGAATTAGATTTACACGATATATGAGCCAAAATACATGCATCAGTATGCATAATACTACAGCCATGTGAGATTTGACATTATAGATCAATTGGCTCGGACATTGGACCGCTTGGTAGGTTTAATATGTTCAAATGATAAAAATTTATTTATAAAATAACTTATAAATAATTAGTATTTTTCACTATGTATGACATAATGATACCATTTGTCACAATCGCATTCTTGATGGCAGCGGACTTGGGATTGTGTGACACTCACTTTCCAACGATAAGTGAGCTAAGCCAATTCATTCTTGCATCGCTTACGGCCCAGCGACTCGAGCCTCTGACCTCGATTTTAAGAGAAGGTTTTAGAGAACAAGAGAAAGAGAAAGATTTTTGAAAGAGATATTATATAAACAAGCAATTATTGGGAATTAAAACTTATATTTAGCTTAAATTATAAAAATTATTTAACCGAACTTGGGTGCGGTCGGGGCTAGGATTGGCTTTGAATATACCTCCGAATAGAGTTTGTTCCAGATTTCAAATGATCAGATAAATTAAATGCCTCTCCACATAGTTCGCCCATTAATTTTTGTTTCGAAATCAACAAAAACACGACATTCAATTGCTTTGAGAATTTCTCACAAGTCTTTCATTTCAAAATCAGAGATCTCGTACGTGAAGCTAGAAGATTTCTATGTCAATCTCTTGCATCGGTGTGTTCAAACCTCCGATTCCCGCCATGGATCGGCAATTCATGCGAAGTTCCTCAAAGGATTTCTTCCATATTCTCTTTTCTTCCACAACCATGTACTTAATTTCTATGTCAAATGTGGAAGTCTCTCATGTGGTCTGCAACTGTTCGACGAAATGCCTGAGAGAAATGTTGTGTCCTGGTCTGCAGTCATTGCTGGGTTCGTCCAACACGGCCGACCCAATGAAGCCCTCTCTCTGTTTAGCCGCATGCATTGTGATGGCACGATAATTCCCAACGAATTCACCCTTGTAAGTGCTCTTCATGCTTGTTCTTTAACTCAGAGGCTGATATGTTCGTACCAAATTTACGCATTAGTTCTTCGCTTAGGATATGGATCGAATATTTTCCTCATGAATGCGTTCTTAACTGCTTTAATTAGGCATGAGAAATTGCTGGAAGCTTTAGAAGTTTTTGGGAGTTCTTCATCCAAGGATATTGTATCATGGAATGCTATGATGGCTGGTTATTTGCAATTATCATATTTAGAACTGCCTAAGTTTTGGCGCCGGATGAATCTCGAGAACATTAAGCCTGATAATTTTACATTTGCTAGTATCTTAACTGGGTTGGCTGCTCTCTCTGAGTTTAAACTGGGTTTGCAAGTTCACGGACAGCTTGTGAAAAGTGGATATGGGAATGATATTTGTGTAGGGAATTCCTTGTGTGATATGTACATTAAGAATCAGAAATTGTTAGATGGTTTTAAAGCTTTTGATGAAATGCCTTCAAGTGATGTGTGTTCTTGGACTCAGATGGCTGCAGGGTGCCTCCATTGTGGTGAACCAATGAAGGCACTCGAGGTCATTTACGATATGAAAAACGTCGGCGTGAGGCTAAATAAGTTCACCCTTGCAACTGCCTTGAATGCTTCTGCTAATTTAGCATCCATAGAAGAAGGGAAGAAATTCCATGGATTGAGAATTAAACTTGGAGCTGATATTGATGTTTGTGTTGATAATGCTCTACTTGATATGTATGCAAAATGTGGATGTATGAGCAGTGCAAATGTTGTCTTTCGTTCAATGGATGAACAATCTGTTGTCTCATGGACTACCATGATTATGGGATTTGCACACAATGGCCAAGCAAAAGAAGCCCTTCAAATCTTTGATGAAATGAGAAAAGAAGGGGCTGAGCCTAATCACATCACTTTTATTTGTGTCCTCTATGCTTGTAGCCAAGGAGGTTTCATTGATGAAGCATGGAAATACTTCTCTTCCATGAGTGCTGACCATGGGATTTCACCCTCTGAAGATCACTATGTATGTATGGTGAATCTCCTAGGCCGAGCTGGGTGTATAAAAGAAGCCGAGGATTTGATCGGACGAATGCCGTTTAAACCGGGTTCTTTGGTCTGGCAAACATTGCTTGGTGCATGCTTAGTTCATGGCGACGTAGAGACGGGAAAACGAGCAGCCGAGCACGCGTTGAATTTGGATCAAAACGATCCATCGACTTATGTTTTGTTATCGAACATGTTTGCTGGTCGGAGCAACTGGGACGGTGTGGGAAGTTTGAGAGAGCTAATGGAAACTAGAGATGTAAAGAAAGTACCTGGATTCAGTTGGATGTAAACATGAGAATGGTTAGTTCTTCTCCTTTTAAAGATTTTTCACTGAAATAAGTTGTTGAAAGATTCTTCAAGGAAATTCATGTTGGTGGGTGACTTGTTTTCCTATGATAGCTTTTGGGAGAGGTTATTTGAATCATGGTGGTCTAAAATTGTGGATTATTATTATTTTTACTATTATTATAATTATTTGGCGTTTTTATTATCATCGACCGTCTTCAATTCTTAAAAGCTCTCTACTTAGAGCTTGATTCGTGTATGAATCTGTTATTTGAGAAGTAGAAGTTGGTTGATATCTGTTATTAGGGAGCTTGTAGATAATTTGCAATAGTCAAAACCACTACTAGCAGATATTGTCTGCTTTGGCCCATTACGAGTCGCTGTTAGCCTCACGGTTTTAAAATGCATCTATTAGGGAGAGGTTTCTACACTCTTATAAAAAAATGTTTCGTTTTCCTCTCCAACTGATGTGGGATTTCACAATCCACTCCCTTCGGGCCCTAGTATGTTCGTGGAATCTCACATAATCCATCTTAGAGTTCAGAGTTCTTGTTTTTATTTCATTAAAATATAATTTTGTGACGAATCTTTTTGTAGTTTATGAGATAAACATAAAATTAATTATGATATTCGAAAATTAGGTTCTTTCAACGGTACCTAGTCTAATCTCTGACATTTCATTCTAACTTTGAACTCAAAAAAAAAAAAGTAAAAGAACAAAAAAAACTTTGCTTTAATACAAAGTTTACAAAGTTTATTTGTTATTATTAGGGTGAAATTTATTAAAAGAGATATCAATGTCTAATAAATAACTATGAAAATATCAACTCATACGTGTCACATAATTAGATAAAAAAATAAAAAATAAAAAATAAATGCATTTAAATATATATAAAAAAAATTAAAAGTGTATAAAAAGATATAAAAAAATAAGTGTTTTTTTAAATATCTTAATAAATGAATACAAAAAATTTAAAAATTAGACTAATTTAAAAAAAGAGAAATAAATTTATTAATCTTTTTTTACTTGTGTGTGTTGCAAAAAGTATTTTTAATGAATTATTATTATTATTTACTTGTGTTTGTTGCAAAATTAAAAATATTTTATTAGGCTTGGTAAAGTAAAAAAAAAAAAAGAAGTTAGTATAAAATTTTATTTATTGAAATTAGTGAATTTATATATATTTTTTGGGTTAAAATTAGGGTGTGATTTAGCAAAAATAAAATAATAATAATAAATAAATAAACAAATAACTAAAATTAGAAGTTTAAAGTAAAAATAAATGGATATATATTATATAATTAATTAATAATAAATTAAAATTTACAGAAAAACCAAGCTGATTTTTCATCGGCGAGAAGAGAACGAAATTGTAAAAAAAGAGAATAGAATCTGCTAATCTCTTCCTCTGGTCTTCCTCGCTTCCTTCTCCGCATCACTCGCGCTCCAATTTCATAATACCTTTCTCCATCTCTCCTCCTTGTTCTAGCGTCACAACCTGAGGAAAAAGAATCTACAAATCTTCAGATTTCAGTTTTTATCGGAATGTCTTCGTCCGGTGGTAACTCTGGCGACGGAGCTGGCGGTGGCGCCGCCTCGCAGGGCCATCAGCTCTATTTCTGCTATACGTGCAATCGTACGGTAACAATTGCTCACTCATCCTCCTCCGATCTTTTGTGCCCCAACTGCAACGATAGCTTCGTTGAAGAAATGGAAACTCCAAACCCTAACCCTAGCCCTGTTCCCAATCCTTTCGTTTCCTTCACATCCGAGGCATTTCCTCCGTTCAGTACCGGGGGTGGTGGAAATGGCGGTTTCCCGATCATATTCTCCACGTCATCGTCTTCCGGTGGCATTGGTGCTGGCGGTTCTATGATGAATGATCTCTCGGCGCTGTTGGGAGGTGGTTCTTTTCGATCGTCGTCCTTGCAGGACCCTGACGGTTTTAATCCCTTGCTCTTCCTCCAGAACTATCTTCAAAGCGCTAATGTTCAATTGGTAATCCAAAACGCCTCGGGAGAGGCGTTTCATCCCTCTTCCAATTTCAATCTTGGCGACTACTTCTTCGGCCCCGGCCTTGAGCAGCTG